GCCTGATTTCAGGGTTGGTGTTGCTAGCTTCATCACCTTGCTGGTACAGAAGGTCATGATTAACATCAAGCCATACACGGTGATGTTACTGAAATTACTTTATACTGCTGTTCTGGAGGAAAGGAGTTCTGCAGCCAAAAGGGCCTTTGCGTCTTCTTGTGCTGCAGTTTTGAAATATGCCAGCCAATCTCAGGCTCAGAAACTTATTGAAGACACCGCTTCTCTGCATTTAGGTGAAAAAAGTTCTCAGTTATCTGGTGCAGTTCTTATTAAATCGTACTTGAGCAATGCAGCAGATGTTATTAGTGGATACAATGCAGTGGTTATCCCTGTAATTTTTTCTTCAAGGTATGTGAACGACATTTCTTAAGTCTTAACCTTTCATCTTGAGTTCTGAAACTAATATGTCAGCAATTCATGATCTTATGATCATTAAAACTACAAAAGCAGTTCCCTGTAGTCTACGCACTTACTGGATCTCAAATAACAAAACTTCTTTCAGATTTGATGATGATAAAGAGACCAGTGCCTTGTATGGAGAACTTTGGGAGGATATTCCTAGCAGTGAAAAAGTAACCCTTCAGCTTTATTTACCAGAAATTGTATCCCTTTTGTGCGATTGCATGTCCTCATCATCATGGGCTGGCAAGAGAAAGGTGTAGTCTCTGTCACTGATTTTCTATTCATACAAATAAATTGGTGACAGTTAAAAATGCTGTAACTTGTATACTTACCATACTATGGTTATTGCAGTCAGCCAAGGCTACAAAAAGTCTATGTGATGCCCTTGGAGAACCTGTTTCTGCGCACCACCATAATATTCTCAAATCACTTCTGAAAGAACTACCAGGTCGATTTTGGGAGGTAATTCATACTATTACTTGTAAATTTTTAATGGAAACACTGGTTTGAGTGACTATGCCACATGCGTGCACAAGTTATGTGCACTTTACATCAATTTTCCCTGCAATCCTCTAACCAACCATTCTACAAGTAATAACTAACTTATACATCACCAAGGGCTAAAAACGTTGCTCCAACAGATGATGTAGATGCAACAAAAATTTACATCACCTCCTCCAAGTGATATACTCCCTCCGTTCCTAAATATAAGTCTTTGTAGAGATCCACTATGAACCACATACGGATGTATATAGATGCATTTTAGAGTGTAGATTCATTTATTTTGCTCCGTATGTAATCCATAGTAAAATCTCTACAAAGACCTATATTTAGGAACGGAGGGAGTAAAATACAACACTTGGAGATGCAAATTTGCATCCCCATGCCACTGGTGACGTAAAAACCTGTCCGCGCGCCAACCGCCCTTCATTTTGTTTCCCATCCGCCGCCCGCCCGCGCGCCGCCGCCGCGTAGCTGAGCCCACCGCGTGCCGCCGCCGCCGCGCCACCGTCAGATCCCGGCGCTCCACCACCCCCGTCGCCGGTTCCACCGCTACTGCGCC